CAAGACATGATCAAGACATGATCAAGACATGATCAAGACATGATCAAGACATGATCAAGACATGATCAAGACATGATCAAGACATGATGTGAGTGGACAAGCAAACCTATTATACATTTGATCTTTCGCGTTTGTACGTTTATACATTTTAATCACTGATAAAGCACTATACAAATTATGTGTAGTAAATCTTTTATACTCGTATATTGTCAATATTCATTAGTGTTCAAACACTTTTAAGCACCAAGATCATGATAAGGTTAGGCAATTGATTCCTAAATTACAAACTTTTATCTATGATAACGATCAAAAGTTTGCTTTTAGCCAATTAAATTAATGATTTTACAATATATTATTAGATTAGTCTTAGTATTCAAATTATTATAAATTTGTATACGTACGTATCACGTACGTACGTATAAATTATTTATAAATTATTATTGGTATTGGTTTTTTAACAATTATACATTTATAAGCAAATATATCTTGCTGCAATAAGTAACAGCTTTAGTGTTTCGTTAAACGAAGTATCGCTTAGATACGTATATGCAGTATCTAGGTATGCAGCAAATATCGGGACACAATAAAACGTACGTACATAGGTAAGAATTAAACTATAGCTTTTTTATTATAACTATATATGTACTGTATTCTGTATTAATATTTATACGTACAGTATTTGTAATTTTGATATGCTAAACAAGACATGCTTTGGAGACTTTTTTAGTATAAAAAGTTATACGTACGTACGTACAATATTAACGTTAATTTTAGGAATTTACGTACGTACATAGATAGTACGTATCAGGTATAAAATATATACAAATAAAAAAAATAAAAATAAAATAAAACGTATGTTAGGTGTACGTACATATGTTAGGTGTACGTTCAGTACGTTCGTATCAGGTATGTACGTAAGCAGTACTGAAATAAAGTTTCAGGTTCAAATTATTAATGCTTTGGTGTCATGATATATAATATATATAGTTATATTTATATTACACCAAATACGTAGCATCGGAAAAGATTCATTGATAATACAAACATTGATAATCTATCACTATTGTCTAATTATAAGAACAATTAGCAATACGCAGATCGAGTAACAATGATTAACAAAGAAACTTGAGACCTTTTCTGTATCCTGTAGGTTTAGGAATTTTTTGAAACCTTTAAAATCTCACCTGATATGCGGTTTTTTCTTAGCAGGTAATTTCTTGTTTATTTAGATTGGTCTCATTTTATATATATATATATATTATTTATTTGCATATGCATCCAATACTTTTTTTTTTTTTTTATCAATACTTATCAAAAATTTTTATACATTGCATACGCTTACCATCTTGTTACAATTTTTCATTTCTTTATTTGCATTACATATTTGTTATATCTAATTAAAGTCCTTCAAATAAAAATTTTTATCAAAAAATAATGTTGCTTTAATGTTTGATTGATCTCTTATCACGTATTTATTTTTTATCACGTATTTATCATCTATTTTTTATCACGTATTTATCATCTATTTTTTATCACGTATTTATCATATTTTTTATCACGTATTTATCATATTTTTTATCACGTATTTATCATATTTTTTATCATCTATTTTTTATCACGTACTTAACACGTATTTTATCATCTATTTTTTTATGTCTTATTATTCTTTTATTTTCTATTTTTTTGCTCTCTTTGAACGGGTATCATGAAATACGTATACGTAAATCATTATATCAGATATTTCATTATATGTTCTCCCATTCTTATTCCGAAGAAAAATTTTGTAAGCTAACAATTTTCATATTTCTTGTTTCACGTGTAAATGTGAAATTTACCTAATGAAAAAGGCAAAAAAAAATAAAATTTGTATCCGAGTCTCTTTCGTATTACTTAGTCAAATATGTCCGATTTACCATTTATATTTTGAAATGCAAGTTACACATGATTTTTTGTTATTGTACGCTATATATCATGTATTAATACGTAATGTACATGTACTGCTAACTTATTTTTAGAAAACTTCTATTTTTCTTTCGAACTCTCTCGTGATGCTCTTTATAATTCCTATATCATATAATTTATTCATATAATTTATATGTATCCCATAATAACTTCCATAATAACGATATAACTTCAATTATTTACGTACAGTACAATTATTACAATTAGCTTATCGTTATACAAACATTGTATTTATTCCAACAACTGGTTTATAATATAACGATAATTATAGATGTTATCCTAACAATTAGCGGTTATCAAACCTACGTACGTACGCACGTATTTACATTTTTTCCGAAATATTTATGGTTCTTCGTCTTGGTCACGCGGGTTCTTAATTTTTTTCTTCGTTTTAATCAAAAGACAAAAAGAAAGTGAATAAATAAAATTTTTTTTTTCTCATTTAATTTCGAAAATTTCGAAATATTTTTTATTCATTTTTAAATACATTTAAACACATTTGATTATATTTGAATATATATATTTGTATATATCCTTTTAGAACTTAAACGTATAAACTTTTCTTTCTTTTTTTTTTTTTTTTTTTGTAAATATATCATTATATCAATCAATCATTATTTATAAATATAAAATTTCATCGATTACCGATAAAAATTTTTTTTTCTTCTCTTTTTTTTTATTTTCACAAATTATATTATTATAAAAAAAAAAAATGTCATTCGAATCAGTTGGACAAAACAAATCATTAAGTGAAAATGTAACAAAGGAAACTTCAACTTCACCGCTTCAAGATACTATTACACCAATAGTAACACCAATGGTTCAACAGCCACCACCAACATCTTCGACAAATCCAATATTCCAAACTTCTTCGTTAATAACGTCATCATCCAGAATTCAAAATTCTCAAATTCCTAATTCTCGTATACCAACTTTTAAAAATATTCATCATAAAAACTACTTCAACCGCTACCAAATCCTCTGTTATAAATAATGATTCAAAAAATTCTTGTAATCATTATAAGAAGGATTCTCAAGACATATTAGAATCTCCTGAAAATGAAAAAACATTTAGTTTAAGTGATTTAGGTGGTGATGTATCCAATTTATATCATTTAAATAATGGTGGTATTTTTAATTTAAGCGAATCTAGTGGTGTTATATCAAGTTCAAGTAATACCGCCGGTATTGATATAGGGACAAGTGGTTCAATTTTTTCTTCTACTTCTTCTTCTATAACTGAATCAACTCCTCCTCCAATTTCTCAATCTCCCCCTCCAATTTCTCAATCAATTGATCCTTTTTCAACTACTACTTCCTCTTCAACTCCTCCAATTTCTCAATCAATTGATTTTTTTCCCTCTATTCCTCCAATACCTGAAAATCCTTTATCCACTCCTCCATTAAATGGTACTTCTAACACTCCAAGAAAATCTCGTAATACCTATCAATTTCATTCTCGAACTCAAAGTGCTGGTCTAAATAATAGTCATTTAAGAAGATGGCATAGTAGTAATTCTGGCCTTCACCATTCTAAAAGTACAACCTTTGGAAGTTCAAATTCTGGAAATGATGATGATATTAGAACCATATATGAACGTTGGAAATTGGTTTTACCCAAGGATGATTTGATTTTTGATCAATATAGTTCAAGTGTTGATAGGTGTGTTTATATATAGATTATTAAATAATAATAATAATAATCATACTGGTAGTAAATAATAATAATCATAGTAAATAATAATAATAATCATCGTAAATAATAATAATAATAATAATCATCGTAAATAATAATAATAATAATAATTATTATTATTACTATTACTATATTATTATAATTATTATAATTATTATATTATAATTATTATAATTATTATATTATAATAATAATAATTATTTTTTATTATGAATATAGGTATGGATTCATAACATCAGACGGAAAGAGCCCTGCTCCGCCTTTATCGCCTCATGAATTAAGGTTAGTCAATATTATATATATCTCCTTAATATTATCTTGATTATTTAACTAAATAATTTAATTTCTTTCTCAATTAAAAAGAATTGAAAAAAAAGAGGCTAAAAGATCATTAAAATGGGCTTTATGGGTTTCTTCAAATAAATTTGTTAAAAAATCCGGAAAATTTGGTTGTAGTAGTTATGTTTTTCCTTGGGATAAAAAGGTATTTTTAATTATCTCTATTATCAATAATTATCAATAATAATTGAATCGATAAACAATTGGTAATTTATAAAATTATTATAATTATCAATAATAATTGAATCGATAAACAATTGGTAATTTATAAAATTATTATAATTTTTAATAATAATATTTAATAATAATATTTAGTAATAATATTTAGTAATAATATTCAATAATAGTATTCAATAATA